CCTGGTGGAACAAGCAGGTACTACAGCTAATCCACAATGCATTCAGAGCATACCGGTTTCTGCCATCCACGGGAAAGTGGCCTACCGGAGCTTTGCAACAAGGTTTCCTGACCACCTACATACCATGAGGCAAGAGTTTGAAAGCAAAAATCATTTTTTGTTAATGCACTGCAAAGCCATTTAGCTTTCAAACATACATTCTGGGTTGATTTTAATAACTTTAATGAACTTGGAGTTTGTATTTTCTAGGATAATGGCATCAGACTGGGAGTCAGTGTTTGGCAAATACTACAAAATAAAGGACTCTGATCAGATCGGGGGCAAAAATCAGAACCTTCCTACTAATTAGACTTAATAAAATGATTTAGATGTGTAACCAGAATGGAGGTAAACGAGCTTTGGGAGCAGATTTTTTTATTTGTTTGTTTGTTTTCTGGTCATGAAAGACACCATAATTGTTTCTATCCTGGTTTTCATTTTTGGGATTTAGTGTTTTACCGTCTGTGCTTACTGTAACAGAAGTACTTTGAAAAAACAGATTTTTCAATTTATATTTTTTACACTTTTCCGCCACTTCTTTGCTGTTTTCTTAATTTTTGTGCCCTCTTTTGTCCTCTCATCTTTCCTCTCCTTGTTTTCTCCCCCCCGTTTTATCTCCTCCTCTCTTCTCCTCCTCTCTCCTCCTCTCGCTGTCACTGCTCGTTAGCGAGCGCTGCTGCTCCCTTGAGGTCGACAGTTTTGATGTTTGTCTCTTTGTTTGTGTTTGTCCCTCATTTCTCTTCCTCCTCCGCTCGAAACCAATAAGCAGCAGGAGGCAAAAAAAAAAAAGAGAGAAAAAAATATCAGAAAACAACAACAACAAAAAAAAAGAACAATCTTCTCTCTCTCCCTTTCTTAATGACGGCTGTTGGTGTCAGCTCCAAGCCTCGGAGATTTTCTTTACTCAGAGCGAAGGAAAGCAGAGTGACGTCTTATTATTTATTTTCTTTTTTTTNGTTGTAAAGGAAGAGCAGCCGAATGTTAGTGAAGACTTTTTTTTTCTTTTTTTTTTTGTGTCATCATCAGTCAGTAATCAAGGAATCAATAACCCAGTTTGAGTACAGTGGACATTTGTCCTCTGCTGTTTTAGTCACCAGAGAAATGATTTGAACTGTAAAGTCAGCTCTATTAGATATTTACAATTTCATTTAGAGAGTAGATACACATTCACACGCCAGCGGTGACAGAGCTGCCATGCAAGGTGCTGCCTGCCATTGGGAGCAACTTCAGGTTCAGTGTCTTGCCCAAGGACACTTTGACTGTGGAGGGGCCGGGGATCGAACCGCCAACCTTGCAATTAGACCTGAGCCACCCCTACATATACAACTACGACAGAAGAACCTAGTTGGTTCTGGCTGGTTTTTAACACGAGCTCTGGTTGAAGGGCATTAACCACCACAGAGTCATGGTGCCCATTGCTAGCTAAACCTCTACAATGCTCTCTGCTTGGCAACACTGAACTGCCAATACTGACACCCCATTTTCCACCAATCTGGTTCCAGTGCTGGTTCGGAGCCGGTGCCTGACTTAGCACCAGTTCTTTGTGTTTCCACGGCCTAAGCACCGGCTCCAGGTTCTCAAAACTGGTGCTTAGCGAGCACCAACTCTTTGCTGGGCCAGAGAAAAGCACCAAGTATATCGGGGTGGGGTTATCATGACCACCGAGACCAGTGAATGAACGGGACACACAAGCAGTGATTTGTGTCGTTTTTCACCAGGACGTCCCTGGTCCGATCACAGATGTATTGGAATGAGTCCAGGGACACACAACTGTTGCGCCCCAACAAATGAGAAAGTTGGTCACACGGTAAAAAAGTTAGTCTGGAGTCCTGTGTGGACTTCCATGTGGCACGAGCATTGTTCGGTAAACGGCTACCTATGCAGTGACGTATGGCGTGGCTCTAATTTGGCTCCCTGCTGATGGAAAAACAACCGGTTCTTAGATTGGAACCAACTAAGCACCGGCCCTAGCACCGGCACAGAACTAGCACCTGGTTCTTCTTGGTGGAAAA